GTTACCTGTCCAGGGTGTCCCCTGATAGGCTCCAGCCCCCTGCGACCCTAGTGAGGTTTAAGCAGTGTATAGATAATGGATGGATGGAAATTACTTAATGCTGAATGATGTTGGCATTCATTCTTAGTGTTAGGGTTAAAGTTAAAAATATATATATTTATATATCAATGTTGTATTTACAGATTAGCTGAGACTACTTTGACAATGGAGTGATTTTTATTTTTTTTTTTAAATCGGTTTGCAATAACATTAGACATGTTTTTACAAATCCAAAGTCTCCACAGGGATGAACATCCTCCCTGTCCATTAACAGCTCCAGCATTATGCTCTTTCTTTTTGCATGGACAGATACTACACTACCGTTCAAAAGTTTGGGGTCACCCAAACAATTTTGTGTTTTCCATGAAAAGTCACACTTATTCACCACCATACGTTGTGAAATGAATAGAAAATAGAGTCAAGACACTGACAAGGTTAGAAATAATGATTTGTATTTGAAATATTTTTTTTTTTACATCAAATTTTGCTTTCGTCAAAGAATCCTCCATTTGCAGCAATTACAGCATTGCAGACCTTTGGCATTCTAGCTGTTAATTTGTTGAGGTAATCTGGAGAAATTACACCCCATGCTTCTCGAAGCAGCTCCCACAAGTTGGATTGGTTGGATGGGCACTTCTTGCGTACCATACGGTCAAACTGCTCCCACAACAGCTCAATGGGGTTCAGATCTGGCGACTGGCCACTCCATTACCGATAGAATACCAGTTGCCTGCTTCTGCTCTAAATAGTTCTTGCACAATTAGGAGGTGTGTTTAGGGTCATTGTCCTGTTGTAGGATGAAATTGGCTCCAATCAAGCGCTGTCCACTGGGTATGGCATGGCGTTGCAAAATGGAGTGATAGCCTTCCTTATTCAGAATCCCTTTTACCCTGTACAAATCTCCCACCTTACCAGCACCAAAGCAACCCCAGACCATCACATTACCTCCACCATGCTTCACAGATGGCGTCAGGCATTCTTCCAGCATCTTTTCATTTGTTCTGCGCCTCACAAACGTTCTTCTTTGTGATCCAAACACCTCAAACTTGGATTCATCCGTCCACAACACTTTTTTCCAGTCTTCCTCTGTCCAATGTCTGTGTTCTTTTGCCCATCTTAATCTTTTTCTTTTATTGGCCAGTCTCAGATATGGCCTTTTCTTTGCCACTCTGCCCTGAAGCCCAGAATCCCGCAGCCGCCTCTTAACTGTAGATGTTGACACTGGTGTTTTGCGGGTACTATTTAATGAAGATGCCAGTTGGGGACCTGTGAGGCGTCTGTTTCTCAAACTAGAGACTCTAATGTACTTATCTTCTTGCTCAGTTGTGCAACGCGGCCTCCCACTTCTTTTTCTGCTCTGGTTAGAGCCTGTTTGTGCTGTCCTCTGAAGGGAGTAGTACACACCGTTGTAGGAAATCTTCAATTTCTTAGCAATTTCTCGCATGGAATAGCCTTCATTTCTAAGAACAAGAATAGACTGTCGAGTTTCAGATGAAAGTTCTCTTTTTCTGGCCATTTTGAGCGTTTAATTGACCCCACAAATGTGATGCTCCAGAAACTCAATCTGCTCAAAGGAAGGTCAGTTTTGTAGCTTCTGTAACGAGCTAAACTGTTTTCAGATGTGTGAACATGATTGCACAAGGGTTTTCTAATCATCAATTAGCCTTCTGAGCCAATGAGCAAACACATTGTACCATTAGAACACTGGAGTGATGGTTGCTGGAAATGGGCCTCTATACACCTATGTACTGTATTGCACCAAAAACCAGACATTTGCAGCTAGAATAGTCATTTACCACATTAGCAATGTATAGAGTGTATTTCTTTAAAGTTAAGACTAGTTTAAAGTTATCTTCATTGAAAAGTACAGTGCTTTTCCTTCAAAAATAAGGAAATTTCAATGTGACCCCAAACTTTTGAACGGTAGTGTATGTAATAGTACATTTTATATAAAACAATCATGTGAAATGTGATATGTTAAAACTGCAACAATTTCCCCAAGCTGTCTCTTATACTCATTTATTCAGAACCACAGACATCCTCATCCCAACCTTATTAAGGACATTGTCTTATTCCATTGATTACAAACTAGATCCAAAAGGGGGCAGTATATATCAAGTATAATATCTGTCATCCTACGAGCATCTTCTACACTTTCCTCCTCTATGTCAGGAGTTTCTGACCCTTTTCCAAACCTTAGATATGTTTGAGTTATTTGAACTTTCTAAATAGACATTAAACCTTCTTAAAATCTTTGATTGACATGAACTCTCCTTGCTTTTCCCACAAAATGGCTTTCTGTCCCGGAGACATCTAAATGTCTGGGACTGACACTGAACATTGAACACAAGTATTTGCTGATTTAAGGAAAGGTCCCTACTCACCAAGTCACGCAGGCGCCGGAGTTCAGATTTCTATTTCAAGCGACGTGCCTTTTAACTATTATTAGATGCAGATTTATCTTTCTCATAAAGAGTGCTGGCTTGCCCGAAACAGTTATTTTGATTTAGCAGTTCTATTTTCATAGATATCTGCTGCTGATCAAACATGTCAGGCTGTCAGTATTGATGTACACTTCTCTAAAATAGTTAAAACCAATGTGGACATTTTCTTTTTGTAGATTTCCAAAATCAAGCACTCAGATCTTGAGCCACAGAGAGATGACATTTGTGGAGAAATGATCATGGATCAGTGGGGATACTGATGGGACATCTGCATAGGCTACTCTTTAAAGAGATGGATGCCACCATACCGGGATGGGGAGAGTCCAAGATGCTGCTGACTATCACGCTTGAAGAAATCAGCAGTGTGGCATCGTGTTCCCCAGGCTTACTATTCACCTGGCTGACAACAGAACATTGTAGGGAAATTTCTGCAAAAACAATGTCACCGATGCTGCACTAAAATGGAACTGAAAAACAACAAAAATGAAATGTTTATGTGTTTGACAGGCCTTTAGAAAGACTTCTCAGTACAACAATAAAGGCAAACTGAGTTTCATTTGTAGTCCTCACAGAATTAAACTGTTATATTTAAAAGTCTCGACAGCAATTTGTTCTACAGTCATGCCCCAGTTACTTTAAATATTTTTCAGATCTTGCTCTCTGTGGATTATTCTGAGAATTTCCAGAAAGAATAAAATAAAACATGTTGCAATTTTAGTTTTCAAGGGCTTTTTTCAAACCAAAATCTGCATGTGTTGTGTTCCTGAAATGAATTTAGCGTAATTTAAAAATAATTTTTCTTTGTTTTCCAAACAGTACTGATATGGATAAACCATAAATAGCATCGAAGTTTATTCTTTGCCTCGTAAACTGTGATAAAAACATTTCAATTCAAGGTTCGCAAACAACCTTTTGCAGACCTTTTCGGCTCAGAGTTAATGTTCCACACCAGGGGCCAGATGATAACACCTGAGCCAACTCACTGATGAAGACCATGAGATGCAGATGAGAACTCTGCAAAGCGAGTTACTTAACTTTGAATCGGGATCATTTTGTCACACAAAGTATAAACAGCATTACAAAAGAACTGATTTGATTTAGCTGTTTTATAGCGCATAGTGAATTGTGCGTTTAAGTGAAGCGGACATAGACAGGGTGTTCCCTATTGACGTGATGCACTCCCTGGGGTCTGGCTTAAAAGCCAAACTAAAGCAATGAAATCATTCAGTGTTAAGGATCTTGGCAAATCAGGGGCACCCATATACTCCAAAGATTTACCATTCATTTCTCTTGGAAAACATGGGAGTAGGAACAAGAGAAGCGAAAAAAGAGAGAGTGGGAGGTGAGGGAGAGCTCCGTCCAGTGGAGCCAGGGTAAGAATTTATGGTCAGGAAGAGCGATGAATGTGTAATTTACGGTGCATACTCTACCATTCCCCCTGCCCTCCCCTTTGGTAATGAGAAACGGCTGTTTTGTTGTGGGGCCAAAGCATGGTGTGCCCCCTCCCTTCTGGCTATGACACACCATTAGTTTTTATTTCTGTCTCTACTTTTACGACCCCTGCCCAGGCGCCAGCATTTGGCCAGTGATCGGGACCATCACACCATCTAAGCGCTTCCACCTCCCAAGATGGCTTCCTGTAGCAAAACCGTACCACAACTACAAAAGTTTGAAGATGGATAGGAACGTACTCCCGTCATTTGTTTTCTCTTGTTCTTTGAGGTTTTGAATCAATTCCGGTCAGAGAATGAAAAATGGACACTTATGGTAGAAAATTGTTCAAATAGTCCAAACTGACCGGAATTGGTCTTCCTTGTCAGGTATTTGCTTAGTCTCAGTCTATGAATAAATGATTACTGTTTTGTTATAGAAATAATAATAGGGCCTAATTTTGGTTTTGGCTATTGTAACCATTGGTTGTGTAACTGTACCCATCCAAAGTAATCACTCAGATATTCTAAAACAAGGAAGCACGGCTACAGCAAAGTTTGACAGGGCGGAAAAAAAAAAAAAAGACAGTTTGTCAACATGGCAGCAATTTAACCAGATTAACTGATATTTTAAATGGAGGCAAAAACAAAAAAGTAAAACCAGCACAACATGGATTATAATTCCTCATTCCTCAGGAGATCACAATTGAACCACAAAGTCAGTAAACTGTGATGGAAGTTTACATTTTTGATTGCCTGTTCCTTCCAAATCAGTCTGAGGATTTGTTTGAAACCAGTTTGAGTTAGACTGATTGCGTTTCCTCTTGCCCTGTGCCCTCTCTATATAGAAAGTAGTGCCCATAACTGACTGAAAAGGGGCCAAAAGTAAGCAAATAAGACCCGTGTTGTAATAAACTGTAATCAGTTAATTATTAAAATATCAAGTCATCATAAAAATGAGTCCATTTCCTAAAACACTTCATTATAAGAAAAGAAGGGGTTGTCATTTATCGCCAAAATTACAAAAATATTCATTTTAAAATCAAAAACAAACTAAGTGCAAAATCAGTGCATAACTGAAATACCATTAGCTTCATCTGAACTTTATTTAGGCTTTCACAGAATAAGCTATACATGATGATACTAATACTTCTTATGTTTTGATGATAAACACAACTCAACATATTCAGTATCACAATCCATAGTATGAATGAGTAATGAAGGGTGTAACTTTTCCTGAAACTAATATCCTGTTTAAAACAAGCAGACCCATAGAAAGCATCGTAGGTAATATACATTTGTAAAATGCTATGACAGCTCTGAAATATGAGTAGCAGGAAACATAATAGATGTGCAAAATATTCAGACCCTGTTGCAAACGTACTGATTATGGAACAGCTGATGATTGATGGCTTATATAATCATTAGTGGCTTGTATTTACTGCATATTCGATACATCACTCTGCATGTACATTTTCCTCCTCTTGTTTTCTAGACCGTGTTCCGTCAAACGATGAGACCAGTATTAACACATGTGCAAACGTCAACACACGTGTACGAGCAACTTAATTCTGTCGACAAACAGCTTTTAATCCGAGCAGATATACATACAAACTAACACAAACACCCAGACTTCAGGTGGACACGCACACACATACACACACGCTTGCACGCATGTGCAACTTTGTACCATGCAAATACTCAATTCTGTGCAGAGATATTTTCTGATAAAAACAACATTTATTTCAAAACAAACACTAAGCTATCAAATGGCAAAGGTTTGTGTCAAGAGACCGAAGAAGGATATGAGTTGAGCTCCCATCAAGCCTCGTCTTCTCGTCACCTTTCTTAATCTTGCTTTGTACAGATTCCCTCCTTAAAAATGATACATAGAAGACCTTCTGTCCAACCACAAATGATTTCCAGTGCCTTTCTTTTTTTTGTTTGACCTTCCAATTGGAAGCAAAGGTACCAAGACTTAATACTATTCACTGACTTTACACCACACACAGTGATTTGAAATAATCCATCTGCCACCTCTCGCAAAGACAAAAACAAATGAAGAACAGATTGTGACTAAAATCGAACAAAACACATCATTTACCAGAGGAGACCGAGAGACCCTTCATTAATTACCATCTTCCAGCTTGAATGCTGCATTTGGAACACGAGATCTGTTCTTAACTCAGGAGTTACGTTGGGTCAGTTTGTGACACAAACAAAGCCCCAACCGCAATCTTCAACGTGGCTTTGCCGTCCAACAGTGATCCTTAACGGTCGAACGAAAATCAACAAGACGTCCCGAGTACCACTAAGACACAAGTCTCCTCCAGATATGCTCATTTATTCAAAAGGCTTCAAGAAACCCTGTGTTGCAGCAATCCTCCAGTTTTCTTTGCATCTTTTACAATGCAGCATAGCAGCATTAATCCAATCCTTCAACACTCATCTTTGTCTGTGGCTGGCACTGCTGGGTGAGGCATTGTCTTTATTTCGCCCTCAGCCTCATCCAGTTAGTCTTCAGAGTTTAGGAGACAGAGCTGGTTGTAAAGCTGGGAGCAGTGGTGGTCCTGCTCTGGCCTTTTCTCCGCTTCCCTCCTCCTCCTCCTCCACCACCTCCTCCTCCACCTCCTCCACCACCTCCACCACCTCCACCGCCTCCTCCTCCTCCACCTCCTCCCCCTCCTCTGCTACCATCTTTGCCTTCTCGTCCTCGTCCACGTGCACTTTCTCTCCTGTTCGTATCATCTTGTCTGTCCCCCTTATTCTTCCTCTCTGAAACGAGAATGAACAGAAGACATGATTAATAGGTTATACTATGTGTCAAATGAAGTCTTGTAAGGCATCTGTCATCTCTGGATGTTATACGTGGAAGTGTTCCTGCTTGGCTGAACAAAACTGACAAAATGATTCCTGGGCAATGCATAAATGACAAGAGATGTGTGATGCATCAGAACTGCCAGTCGTGTGTGTGTGTTTTCGATACACACAAAACAATCGTACACCCTACACATTCAGTCCAGAATCATTCATAAATGCTAATATAATGCTATGTTTAGCCATGCTGACAGGATAATAATCAAACCTAATAGGACAAAATAATACATCTAAACATTTGGAAACTGATTGCTGTTGGCCACGCTAGTAACTCAGTTGGATTGTCCACTTTGTCTCCATTCTCATTGTAGTCACTTATTCTGTTTAATTTCAACAGCTATTCACTCCCTTGTCCCACTTGACGCACTCACAGACCTCTCTCCAGCTCCTCTCTGCTGCTACTCTTGCATTTAGAGTCACACTTGACATTTTAAGAGTATAATTGCTCTCTAAATACAAACATCCACCGCCGGATGGTTAATGTTTGCACGTTTCAGGAAGGGAAAGGGCTTAAATCTGCTGCCGATTTTAAAGTGAGGCATTTGCGCAGACTGTAAGAGCATAGAAGTGACCATTTTCTGCCACATAATTCACCTTAAACTCACTACTGGGATAATGAGTTAAACATTGTCAAGGGCCCAATAATGGCCCATAACAACGTGAGGAGCTGTCACAAAGTGGAAATGGACATTATGTCTAGTGTCAGATGTCCATTGTTTAGGCAGCACTCAAAAGTATTTGATTTTGTATATCTGAACGAGGGTAGTTACGCTGGAGGATGTTTGTTATGAACTTGTGCTAAGAGTCTCTGCACATCCTGAAAACCGAGTGAACACGTGCCAAGGGCTGGACAGTGTTCGCTACACAGCTGACAACAGGAGAGCTTATGGCGCCACCATGTTTGTCTGCTGCTATGCAGTAATAACCGTAGGTCTGTGTTTATTTCCCTACCAGCATTTTTTAGCATATTGTCAAACAGTTATGTTTTGTTGGTTTAAGTGCAAACTAAAGAAAAAAAAAAAAAAAGCCCAAAGGTATAACATTTCTCAAAAGCCAGAGAAAATCATTATAGTGTGATGAGGCAGATTTGATGTAGTTCAATGTGGACAGACCTAACACAATAATATTTATTTTCCGCTGGCCCGTGTGGAGTCACAGTTGCTTTATTCTAAACTGAAAACTAGAAGGCTCAATCCCACACAGTAGTGCACAAACAGCAATAACAGATCTTTTTTAAAAGTCATTAGTGCCAAAATCACGAAAACACAACTAAAAACTCATTTGTTATGTTGGCTCAAGTTATATGAAAAGAGTTTGTTCAGTGTGCTCATCGTTCCTGCCTTGAACCAGTAAACAGATTTCTGAGATTTTACGGCAACTATTAATTAATACTGAGCAGTAATAGTTTCAGTTTAAATAAACGAGGCACATAAACAAGAGCGGAGCCTGAAGTAAGGGTCCTCAAGCACACTTTCCGCCATCTGAGCTGATGTGCTTACTGTGTAAGGACTTAATTACTTCTCTAACAAATCACTAATGGAGCCAAGAGAGGGGGACTCCACCAGTTTATGACAGCCCTGATTGCACCTCCTTTCCATCCAAGCTAAACAATTTTGCCTGACAAATGCAATAGCACATCCAGAAAATTCTGTTTTCGCGTGAGACCTTTTTGTGGAGCTTCTGGAAAAGGGTAAAAAATTTGCAGCCAGATCAACACAAAGCGTGAGATCTGCAGACCACTAAATCACTAATGTTATACAAGGTCTGCCCCCTGTGTTTTATATAGCCAGCCTGCCAGCCAACTCCCACAGATGACTCCACAGCTGCGCTCTTTTTGCACCCACATGAACTAGTTCGCTGGAGTCATGGTACCATCACCCATGAATTAGCTCACAGAGGAAAATTCATTCCTGTGCATTTTGGCAGCAGTTTGCATCTTATATTCATACGAGCTGCAGAATAGAGAAAAAAAAGACTAAAAAGCTACGTCAACAGCTGACCATTTCACAATCCACAAAGCTTATGTGACTCATCACTTGTCAGATGAAGCTTCACATTTCATCTTTGCTTTTCTGATATGACTACCTTCGCTCCAAGTTTAAAAATCTGGCAGTCAACCCAGCTGTTTTTACAGGGCAGTTTATAATATTTCACTGTTAATTATTCTTCTGAACCGAAGGCTGAAATTTTTTCCAGGACTCAGGCGTCAGACAGAGTAAATTCGCTTCTCATTTCTCAAATAGTGCTGTCACAGGCTGTCCAATGAAGAGCCCACTCCTTCCTGAGCAGTTAGAGGCCATGCCAGCTCCTCTCCCTGCAGACGTGACCACAGATCTATATGGGACAATGTCAGATCATGTTCAGTTGTTTAGACTCAGAAGAAATTTTTCCAAGAAGAGAAACTGATGCTGGAATATGCGAGCCTCCACTATGTTTACTCACACGTATATCAAGGCATGTCATCTGTTACATGTTGCAACATCTGTACTGCCAACAATGTGAAAATATTGTTACGCAATGGCTGCTGCTGCTGTGCCTGAAATCCCTGAAGCGTGCCACCGTTCAATAAAGACTTTATATAGTGCTCATTTACAGTTCCTGTAGTAAATGAGTTAGTTTCCAGCTTTGGTAAAAAAAAAAAAAAAAAGCTGGCACATTATGCAAAACACACTAATATATAGTGGGGCATTTAGAGGCAAAGACATTTGCTAATGACTCTGTTTTTACTCGCAATTCCGCAGTTCAAGAGAACAACACTCATGGTATGAATTAACAAAGTAAAACAGCTCCACTCTTGAGCACTTCTGCTAATAAATTTCTATTTTCTTTACCTCAACACAAAAGGAGCCGATATTTAAAAAAAACAAATTATCAAGGATTACTGGTATCTTTGTTGTGCATTTCATTTAACAGGATCCGGACCAGTTGGATAGATCTGCCCTTTAATAGCCTTACCTACGAATGAGGCCGTAAGCGACTAATAAGTTGTTATGAAAGTTGATACTGGCCACTGACTGGTGAGAATGGCTGTTAACCTGCTGGAGATTAAGCTGCTGTGTGGATGAAAAGAGCCCAAGCAAACATGTCATGGCCGTGTAAACCTCGCGCTTCAGCGGTCTTCGGAACAAATAGCTCGTTTTAGCTCTGATCTTTGTCCAGCCTTGCAGTGGATAATGTCCGCCCTTCATCTGCTTGGCTCGTAGACGGAGTTTATTGTTTACATGCTGAAAAGTCAAGAGATTCTGTATCCTTCTGTGCTTTCTGCCAAACCAAACCCAATCAGCACGCTGCGGGTCACAGACACACTGGCGGGAATGCAGGTCTTTGAATGTTGAGTAATGGTTCCATCAGTCATCATATTAACTGCGGAGGGATTTCATGAAACACATGGAACTTATTCCTCGTTCATCTGTTATCTGAGTACTCCCTCCTCATTACCGAGCCATTACTAACTACTTTTAAAGAAGTAGTCTCTCTCAAATGTCATTTTATCCTGAGTTCCACATTTGTTTTTACCTCTCGCGCAAGGCGTCTTGGTCACAACGCACTTCCTCCTCTCTGTCTCTGGAATGCAGGTCGGTGAGGGTACAAAAGCAGGGGAGGTGTCCGGACTGTGGACCTGCAGAAGGGGTACGCGGACCCGGGACTGGGAACCTTTTTTAAATCCACACGTTTTGTTCTTCTTCATACAGGAACCCCATTGGCTCCACTCACCCAGTTCACACTCTGAAGAAGGCTGACCTGAGACAAAAAAGAACGACAAAGGACATTAGTAAATAAGCTCCAAACATCTTACATTTGCTTCACAGCCTCTCAGAAGTTTTACCTCAGAGTCATGGCTTTAAGTAATTTATGACAATCGAGTTCTGCTGTGCGTATGATAATGTCTTGGTTTTTAGAGCCACATTTTCAGCAATATATTCTCTGTGAATGAGCAAATTCAATTTAAAGGAACATCGTGTGATGCCAAAAAGTCAGTTCGGGGCTCCAGGTCTTTAAAGCGCCGCGCCAAGATGCCTGGAGAGCTGTGTTTCACTGTTTATGCTGTTGCTTTTAACTTATGACAGAATTATTCTCATCAGAAACAAAAGAACAGAAAGGAAAAGCCAAGAGTTTCTGATATATTTCTCAGGAGTTCACGTCCATTTTCCAATCCAAACAACTGAACACAGATAGGCCGATAAGATAAAGTGATGCGTGTAGTTCATATATAACAGCAGGTTGCGTTCAGTGTTGCCGTGTTTAAGTTTTGAAGGTGGTAAACGGTAGGTTAGAGTCACTCACCAACACACTCCATGGTCTCGTTGGCGGTGCGCTGTCCTGGGGGGCAGCTGACATAACATCGCCCACTGTGTGAATACAAGCCGTCCTTACATTTTGTGCAAAAATTGCGATTGAAACACGCTTCACAATTGTCTATTTTACATTCTGAAAAACACAGGGGAGACAAAAAGAGAGGATCAAATAGGGATCAGTTCAGCGTGAAGTCACAACGGCTCTAGTGTTGCTAAGTGTTCTTTTTATTGGCTTCAAATTTTTCAGTTTTGTTCTGGAAAATTACACATGTAAACACAGGAAAAATGTTCTTTTATTGAAATATTCACTGATCTCATTCATAGTTCTCAAGAGAAAGGAAAAGAGGAACATGAACTTTATTTCCTCCGAGAGATTTATTAGTGATTAAACAATATGGGGTCTATTTAGGGGGGAGTCGCACTTCCTAACTCACTCTTAAAAACACATGCACCACAGCCCCTGGTTTTCTGAAAAGTGAGTGTGAGTGAGCATAGCCAGAAGTCTAATGGGTCAGTGGTTTTGTCAAGAGCGGGTTTCTCCACACCTTAGACTCATTAAAATCTTTTTACTCAAACAACCAACTTCTTGAAGTTTCGGTAAATTACGAAAGATTAAAAACATCTTAAAAGTACAACCAAAGTTTAGGCTTCATCAAAACCCACTTCCTCATTCATGCAATTCATTATATCTGACAAAAAAAAGGGAAAAAAAGTAAAAAAAAAATGCACATTTTTGTCTCTACTGGATTCAGATCTGGACTCACTGTGTTCATGTGTGCTTAACTTTGAAACGTCTACTCTGCAGCTGGTCTGGTGCCAAGGTCAAAAAAGATATAACGCCGAATCCCTCAGTGGAATCCTAATGTTCCTGCCTCCTGCTCCCAATTTTTTAAGCCCTTGACAGCTAAATTTGACAGTATGGACATTTGTAGCCCTATAATGTAAGACAAATGTTGCTAACAAGACATTCTGGGATGACATGTATAAAGTCAGATGATTGGATAATAACCGAAGTTAGTCACTGAGGGCCTTTGAAAAGAATTTGCTGGGGAAACTCAACCCTCGGCAACAGACTAGCAAAGTAAATGAATGCTGCGTTTAAAATAACAGACACAAACAGGACTGAATTTGTTGAATACTGCTAAAAATACAAACATCACAACAGAAATATTCCCATCTGTGCCATTCCTGCTAATGCAATAAGCTAAAGCAAGGAAAATGCAAAAACTTTCCAAATGTAATGTCTCAACATAGAACGTTAACTTAGAATAGCATGCAGATTCTGTTGTCTTTCTCTCAGTATGAAGGCTACAAAAACTCACAGCTATCGCTTTTGAAATCCATTAATTTGATAAACTCCAAAATGTTGGATCACCGTAACCAGGGTGACGAGTTTTGTCTGACTCGTGCTTGTGACAGCATTGTTTAGGAGACAGACATCATTTAACAGATTTTATGTGACGGAAAGAAATAGCATGTCAAGGAAAACAGCTTGATAGAGAAGCAGAAAACCACTAATTAACACCTACAACAAAGAGCAATGAATGTCATTTAGCGTCGTTAAACACATCTTGTTTAATGATGTATAAAATATAACAATAAAACATGTGACAATGGTGACAGCAATGGAAGCAGACAGACCTCATTATGCTTCCAATAAAACGATGTTGACAAGTGTTAGCTGCGCAAATAATGATCAGGAGTTATTTCATACCCACTTAGATTCAAAGAGACCCTTTGAATACTGTATTCCTATACAGTCTGTACATGAAACAGCCCAACACATGTGTAAAAGTGAAAGTATAACAAACACGGATTGTGGCCTGGCATGAGCCCTGCACATGAAGACCAAATAAAAAACACAGACATCCTCTCAAAAACAGACAAACAACAATGCATTACAAATGTTTTTATTGGGATTGGGAAAACCAATCCTGCTTGTTGCTCACACATAAGGGGAAACAGACAACAGACAGAGCTGCTGGCACTCCCTGCCTGAAAGTACAGGACCACGAGAACCAACAAACTAAGTTTGGTAAGAGCACGGGTGCGGCCACCCTTTTTACCCATCTTCCAAATAAGCCAATCCTGTCTATAGCCGTAATTGAGACCATTTCTATTGAAACTTCTACTGACATTCTCCCCGGATTAGTAAATGTTTTGCTGGATTTTTGTGGCTTTTTCCACTGGGATAAGTAGCAACAACAAGGATTTCATCGTCATCAAGTGGTTACTTATATTTACATATGACTGGCTGTTTGCCTCTTGTGAATGTGCATTCGGTAATAAGAAGGTACATCTCATACCTCACCAAATATAAGTGATATATGCTGCCATGTAAGATGACATGGAGGCATCACAAATCAGCTGTGTGGCAAATAGATAATACTGAAAAAAGCTGTTATCCCTCTTTTCTAAAGTTGTGTAGAAAAGTGTGAACATTTAGAGAAGATACACGAGAGCAAAAACTAGCAAGGGTATCCCTGCACTCTTTTAAATACCACCATATTGTAAATAAACAGCGGGAAGAGCCAAAGATAAACAGACCACATCTGCAGGCTTGATTTGACACCAGCTGTGTGAGTTTTGCAGAGCAAAGAGTTAGCTGGAGCCTTCATGTATCGGTAATATTCTACATGTGTATCTATGAATGTAACGTGCTCACTCACATCCTGTTGATGTACCACAGACACTTGCATGGTCAAGAGTCTACAACGCAGAGAGAAACTCACGTGTGCATCGGTTGTTGCCTTCTGGGTTTCTCATGCCAAAGTATCCCATGGGGCAGGAGGCAAGGCACACGCCTATCTGACGGATGTCGTTGCGCTCCAGGAAGATGAAGAGCTTGGGCTTGCATTTAATGCAGCCGTTGTACTCAGAGCATCGGTCACAGCCTTTGGGGCAAGCTGGTGGCCCCTCAGTACTAACTGTTGAGACAGAAGGTAAACAGAGAGGAAGAAAGAGTCACGCTGGGGTAGGTGTACTGTCACACAAAAAGATCAATATTTTCCAGTCACATGTGAATTCAAATGAACAAAATAAGGGCATTTGTCGACATTCTTTCTATGAGAACACATTCACATTGCTTGAATGTCCACAGAGGCGTCAGACACGGCCAAGAAATGAATACTGAGAGCGAGTGAGAGTGTTTTAACCTATTAATAACCAGTGTCACAGTTCACAAATGCATTTCCACCTCCGTTACATCTACTTCCAGGCAAAATCAGCTCCGTTATCCTCCAAAAACGTAAAGCCATAATACACACACCTCGTAATCTAAAACATTTATAGGAACAGCGCGCTAAAGTGTGCATCCTTATTCCAGGAATAACTCTGAGACCAAACAGTCGTCTGAGGTGATTTACAGTTCTGTGCTATGTCACCTCTAAATATACAAACTCTCATCCAGGAATCAGTCCTGCCTCCTAGAGATAAGTCAAATGGCGCTACGTCAAAAGTGTTCTTCCGTGAACAGATTACTCCATCTCTGAGTCACAGTGACCAGCAGCCATTACAGCCAGGTCTTATTGCTCAATATCACTAATGATGACAAAAGTAATAATGGCCCCGGGGAGTCATTTTTAACCAAATGAGAGGAGTTTAGAAATCCAAGAATGTGATCTTGTAAACTTAAGCAGTAATATGTTACGGTGTCGACTCTCTTCTAAGTTTGATCTTTGAATGACACTGTTTATCCAGAGAAGAAACACAGAAAGCCCAAAGGAAAGAAAACAGGTCACTCTGTCCTCAGCTATTTGCCTACCATGTGGGATGGTTAAAGAAAACTGAATCTGATCACGTTAAAGCTGTGAATCAGATGTGCAAACTCCAAACATCTCCTATATCACCACACTCTTGTATATGGTGTGTGACCCACAATATGAACTGCGACATCATCGCTGACTGCAGATGTATGTGAGTGTGCTATACACTGTAAATATACTCAATTTCTACGACACAAACAAGAGCTCTTTCTCTCAAGTGTGTGTGATTTTAATAACACCGCATGTGTTACTGTGGCTAGTCATGGTATTATATGAATTCTGGTGCAGAGAGGTTGGGGAGGGAGGGGGGGAGCTTGGCATTGGCTGAAAGCTCCTTGTGTGTAAAGGAAGAATTATTTCAAAGCTGAAAGTAACACCAGCACTGAGGCTCTGGGGCCAGAGATATACTGCAAGTTGGCCTCAGCACCATCTTTGTGGTTGCGTGAGGTCAGAAAAATGCTTACAACAATATCAGCAGCACGGTCCAATTGAGAGCTTAGAACTGCCAGGTACTCATTCCAATATATGCCCGCACAGCCAGACACGAAAGCACTGATGGCTTTGAGAGTGAATCCATCAAAACCCCCTTTATAAACCACTCTAATACCCATAAAAGTTTTACATAAACTGAGAGAGGCATAATCTTAAAAAGAGGAAGAAAGACAAGCCATTTCAGGGAAACACTGAACCTAACATAACCCACCAAGGAAAAACAAATATGAGCACTGAGAAAATAAACAAAATGTTATCTTTACTTTGCTTGTTAAATGTTTATAAGACATTCACCGCAGTGACTCAGACCACAGAAACAAAAAGCAGCAGTGCTGCAATGAAAGAAAGAAGAAAGAAGAAAAAAAAAGAGATCAAAACAAACTGACAAACAGAGAACTCACCCCGTCTCTGCCTTCTTGCCTTGGAAAGCTTGAGAACATCGCTGTGACCCATGGAGCTGAGAAAGATCATTGCCAGCGCCACCAGTCCCAGCTGCATAGTCTCTGTTGCCTTCCAGGCTATGCAGGGTCCCCCCCTGCAACCGGATGGATCAGGTGGGGGGGCCCCCCTTTCCTCTGTGGCACAGGTGGATCCCTCTGCTGCCGGGACTGATGATCCCTCCTCTCTCCTGGAGTGCTGCTCTCCTTCTCTGGCTGTCTGTCCCTCCCCCCAGTCTCTCTGTAGCTTTCACTCTAGTGGCTGAAGCATCCGCAAGTCTGTGTAGTGGAGTGTGATGCTGTGGTTGCAAGTCCAAACAAGCCCGAGGCGCAACAAGCCATCATGCTGGTGATAGTAGTGGCAAAGGGAGTAAACAGAGCAGGGGCTGTAGGATGGAAGGGAGGTTATCTGGGTTTTGTAGAGGATGAAGAGGAGGAGAGCGCTGGACTTCCAGTGGGTCAACCCATAAAGCTTGGGATGAACTGGCAGGGAAGCATGGCAACCTGCTGTTTAATGCAGGTTTGCTGTCAGTGAATGTCAGAGTACACAAGCAGGTGCCCTGTTAAAGAAAGAGGCACTAAAATGAAGGCTTGCACACCGACAAATGACAGACGCAGGGTTTGTGACTGTGTGCGATCACTCCTTTGCTTGCACCAGGACCTGCTGACAGAGAGATCAGAGCAGGTTTAGGTGCAGGATTGTTACAGGAAAAATACAGATAATTCACAGAAATATTGCAAAAGGATGTTTAGACATTTTGGAAATTATGTTTATTTGCTTTCTTGCTGGGATTTAGATGAGAAGTTTGATACCTCTAATGTGCCTGTATGATAAATACAAAGTCAAAGCCAGCAGCCTATTAGGGTAGAAGAAATACTACAAACAGAGGAAATCTGGTTTGCCTGGCTCCGTCCAAAGATGATCAAATCTACAGCGTTTCAAAAGGACCCAAAAACTCACTCATTAGCACTTGACCTTGCTTAATCAGTACAGAGTTGTGGTGTAAATATACCAAATAAGCTGCCTTTTGTCTTTTCTGAGAATAAGTGTCAAACTATTTACTGTAGTGACTCCCTCAGGGCTCTGCTAGTGGCAAAGACCTGGCCAAGAAACAGCCCAGCTCCATAAAACTGTAAATTTAGTTTTGCTTCAACTTAGCTTTGAGGTAAGAAAAGTCAACCTAATGTCTGCTGTATCCTTACATTCACAGTGCAAATATGAGAATGGTATCAATCTCTCTCAAAGAAAGCAAATGAGACAATATATTAGTTTGATATTTTCCAAAACTATTGCTTTCATGTGTTTTTTTCCAGGAGTAATATGAGTCATCACATTTATACATGCATGATATTACATTTTAACCCGATTGATCTTTTATTGCAGTAAATACTCCGCATAATGCAAACTTCTCTGCATAATCCGAAGCACTCATAACCGGCTGCATGAAGTGATGAGTCGCACAACAAGGAACCCAATACCATAAACACTTTAGAGTCACGGCATTTCGAGTTCTATTTGGTCTCGGATGACAAATTGAGCGTGTTTATCCTTCGGAAATACAGTGAAGTCAGCTCTCTCTGGGAAACGAACACACACACACCAGGACTGAGGGCCTTTGTCATAAATGGTACTGAGATCTTTTTTAGATAGTGTCATGTGCTGCCTGTATTTATAACTCTTGTGTGAAGAGGACACACAGAACATGTTAGTATCTGAGCAATGGGAGGTCCTCCCTCGCAGCTCAATAAAGACAAATAGGACCATATTTGGCTGTTGAGCCGGTTGTGGCTCTGAATCACACTAAGGACAATGCCATTAAGTGTGTCTAAACATTCCGGCAAGCAACACCGCATTCTTTGCTAAAGTATAAATCAAAAAGGGACAAAATCATTTCACCATGTTCCTCTTTGCTGGACTGAACCAAAGTATTTTGAGCATTCAGAATATGAGTTGTGTTTGATACCAGAAACAAATGACATTTTTTTTTTTAGATTCTGAAAATCACATTCATTGTTGAATTTTAAAGTTATACTCATAGGTTCCCTGCCAATAAAACGGGTTCCCAGTCCTGATAATAATGACTAGACACTGTAGTTTGAAATCTATTTCAACAATGAAACGGAGGAATAAAAGGTGTCATGAAGTATAAAATGATATTACTGCAAAACAGTGTACCACTACCTAATTTCTTAAGTTAGATTAAGTTTATTTGAGTTGCCGGTAAAAAGCGGTATCTGTCGGAGCCTGTTGGTACCGGATCAATCCAGAAAATTACTCACACACAATTAATAATTCTAACAGCAACTCTTCAGAAAAAGAACATTCCTTTTCTTATCCTTTAAAATTCCATCGCGTTGCTTTACACCTAACTTAGGACAGAGGTATTTGTATCCTTCCCTAAATGGGAAACTGTTCAAACTCTCTTTCTAAGTTTATTTACTTCTTAACACTTAATGACTCACAATCTCACCGACAGCTCTCGGCTTAAGTCATATTTACAGGAAAGAGCCAAAAGAGTGGTGCGGCCAGTCTTCTGCAGCACCTGTTTGTTACTTGAGATAATAGTGATGGTAATGGTAAACTGTAAGTCTCTGGATCAGCCAGAACGCAACCTTTCCAGCACTGAGTAACTCAAGACATGTGCCAGAGACTCTTTCATAACCCAGCACTCCCACGACTCAGTCATACCTGCCAAAAGCCCATCTCGGCCTATTCATATGCGCTTCTCATTCAGCGTGGAGATAAGAGACGGGATTAGGCTGCAGACTACAGCAGTCAGAGAGAAGTTACTACTCTTAGTCCACCTACACCGCGATGCCCTACTTTAACGTGCCACATCACAAGTTTTTGTAGGAAACTGCGGCACCTGTAAGTTTTAAAAGTTCTCTGTCTTTGCTCCCTCATCCATTTAACTGTGTGTCTTTCCCCACCAATAGCCACATTCAGCTGAGCCCAATGAAACTAAGCCCGGCTCATCAAATAGTCAGGAGATTAAATTGCCTCCTTTGTAAGTCCTAAGTTTGATCTATCAATTATTCAGACACTGAAAGGGAGCTCCCACACTGGGAATTTATTGAACTCGAGAAGGTGCCACAACTCTGAGCTCAGAGTTGCAAATGCCTGTCGGTGAACTTTATGCCTGTAACTTAACCTCTTGGCATATTTAAGGGCCGAGCAAAGATCATCTACATGTAGAATACGTACCAAACGCCTCAGTCTCACAGAAACCTACTTATGGAATGAGAGCAATAGCGGAATTTGACTAAGACAGAGGTTAGTCTGAAGTTTAAGACACGGAAAGCAAAAAAAAAAAAGGATAATAAAGGCAGAGATCTGTGATTTTATTTATCATATTTTTTGTTTTCTCTCACGAGAAGGACCGAAATGTTGGAGGCAACGTTTCCCTATTCTACGGCGACATTACGTCAAAACTGTCTTACTTTAAAAGTTTTATTGTTAAGCGGTTACATGTTTGTCGAACCTGACAGCAAATTCTGGCTAACAAAATTTGGCTAATCGTGTGCAGGGGACAAAGCAAAATAAGAATTTGTGGGGGATTTCACCCAGTCATTCTGTACAATCACGTTAAATATATTTTGATATCTGCCAAATCCCTACTTGTCCAAACGATACATTTTATTGGTGTGAGTCCATAATCAGATAGAGAAGAACATAAAGAGATGAAAAAGAATAAAAGGAGGTGCTGACTGAGGCTATCTTAAGAAAAACCAATCCAGATTCATCATCCTCCCCATACATGCACTTCACAGCTTTTAATCTAAATCTTATAAGTCACATCGTCTCCATGCAGTGTAGAGAAACACCTGTCTGCACTACACCCACAGAAGCCTCTGCTATTGTGGTCCTTTGCACTGCGGATTAAGGAGTTCAATAAGTCAGAGGTCAAATATGAAGCATTTGTAACACAATCAACAGGCAGAGCGGAGCAGAAAAAAAAAAGCATCACTGGCATCTTCCTCCAATCAAAGCACCACTAAACTATATATATATTTTTTAAAGTTTCCAAGTGTAGCCCTGCACAGCTCCAGCAGTCCAAGGGTTGATCCTGCACAGCTCAGTTCAGCAAAGTTCAGCTTTCCCTGAGGGACGCGCACACCATGCTAGATTACAGCCATTTGCATTACACTGCTCTTCTGGGAGACGGAAAATCAAGCACAGACCTCCACCTGTCCTCCAGTCGAGCATCTCTGCTGTCACCTCAACACTGTCCTGTTGTTTTTCCCCAGATCCTCTCCTGCATGCCCATCCTTTGGTGGAGGCTGACTTTTATGTAGCTCCAGAGGATGATTAGTGTGGTGTGTGTGTGTGTGTGCATGTGTGCGTACTGAGCAGATGGATAAACGCAGCAGAATATAATTATAGCGAGAGGAAACACAGTAATAAACTCTCTAAAGCTCAGTTCAGCCTCGGTACAGAACTCTGAGTCTGATACTGCACACAGAGTCATTGTCACTATTCATTCAGCCATTTACTTAAATAATATGCACATCTGCTTACTATTTGGAATTAAATTGATTAGATGCATTCAGAAAAATTACTCAAATCCAATAATAATGATAATAATATTAATAAATATTAGGGGTTAATAGAGCTACATACACCAAAAATAAATTTCTTCTGTTTTTATTAAACAGCATGACACAAAATTTCAATATTAATGCCTAAAAACTGAAATGGATCAAAGCAGTCGGTTCATCCACAATCCTAAAGTGTTCAAAAAAATTTTTTAAAAATTTAAAAAATCGACTTACCTGTACACCGGAGTCCCCGAATAAAACTGTTCATTGAATAGTCGGGACTCAGTTTCCTTTTTTATAAGGGAAAATCCGTTACTTGTTTGGTCACGAGGAACTCCTCCTACAAGATACCCCCATGCAACTTTTCTCTGTCATCTTTTAAAAAGACATGTGATTTTTATGAAGTGTCACAATATCGAGTCAGTGCTTCAAAAAGATTAATTGAAGGATGCACGAAACCGAAAATGTGCAATGGATTTATGATGAACTGCTCCAAAAAAAAAAAAAAACAAAAACAAAAACAAAAAAACAACAATAACAAAAACGATGATATGCATCAAAAAGGGTACATAGGCCTGGACACATGTGCGTAAATATTCCGATGAAATGGATCAATCTGGCTTTTCCTCGCCCTTTTTTTTTTTTTTTTTTTTTAAAGTCAGGACGCGTGTTTGCACTCAAGGTCCTGCGAGATGCGCTTTTTTAAATCCACTTTGGTGCTCGAACTGCATCCAACTCAGGCAAGTAGTTACAAAGCCGTGATATTTGCATCCAAAGCCCAGCACAGCCAGCGGGCATTTCAGGCCCCACCCCTTAC